AAAAAAATCACGTATTTAACTTTGACAGACATTTAATTTCCACAGCACTGTACGTTTCTGAAAAGCAGTCCACATGACGTTTGTATAAGTTTGCCAAAAAGAAGGTCAAAGCAACAAAACAGATAAATCAAGCACTCTGTCAGCAAACAGCTAAACTTAAAGGCAGCAGTTCTTTAAATCTGATAGCCCACAGCTACCTGTGGGACAGTTTTCACTTATCATCCTCATACTTCTGGATTAAACAGTGAAGGTAAATGATGGAAAATGACATGCAACTCAGATTGAATGAAGTGATGTAATTTTAAAGTCTTTAATCTCATGCAAAGGTCATATCTCCGTTTAATTGGTGATTCTAAATGGGTCACAGGTAAATGTGCGTCTGTCTTGGCCCTGCAACAGGCTGCCAACCTGTCTAGGGTGTACCCTGCCTATCCCTGGGACAGGATCCAGCTATTGCTGTGACTAATCAAGTAAAATTGGAATAAATCAAACACAACAATATAAAAGATTAAAAGACAAATCGTAAGATTTATAGCAGCATCTGCTACATTCTTTCCATCGAAGTTAAAGACAGTTGGATAAAGTGTAGCAAAGGACAGCATCGGCACCTCTAACTTTGACCCCGTGTATGGAGTAATTACTGATGTCTGTACTGTTGGAATTTTTTTTATTTAGCTGAATTCATCTAATAAAATATATGATTTGAATATTAGTAGAAGCAAACAACTACAGGAATACCACAGGACGATAAAAATAGAAAAATCCTAATGTGTCTTTTTTGATTCCCACATAATGATTAAGATCAACTGCGGCAACAGTTTTATTTATATTAGTGTTCGACCTTAATAATCCTCCTAGAGCAGCAATCAAGTTGTGGTGACGCCAGAGCTTCCCAGTGTTACATCAGAAGGTATTACACAAGGCCTTGTTGGTGAGACAAATACTCAAGGTTATTCTTCTGCAAGTGGGAAACTCCCACAGCTTAGCATCCCAACTGTCTGTCCAAATAGACTTTTCCTCCGACTGAACCGTGCTTCCACAAGACACTTGTAACTGTGGGTACATGTGATCTCAGTGGAAATGACAGTCCTCCCTTTTTTTGTTTTTTATCTCCAATCTCTCTTCCATCCAGTCTGTCTCTGTTCCTCTCACTCTCTGAGGACCATGTTCTTTCAAGCCTTTAATACCAGTAAGCAGGATTATTGCAGCCACATTCAGGTCATAACTCCCTGTTTATCAACCAGAAAACACTCTCTAACCACACATTCCTGCCAGGCCTTCTTGTAAGTGCTGCCACAGTGATGATGAATTTCAGCTTAATTTATCTTTTTGTCCTGCACGGGCGAGAAATCTATTTAAACAGTATTTTTATGGGAATTTGTCTGAGCCATTAGATATTGCTTCGTTACAAACCACAAGATAATTACTAGAGGTGGGAATCACCATACATCCCACGATACGATATTATCACAATACTTAACGCAC